CTGAAGTAAAAAATAGGTTGAAACAAACGATAAATTAGTAAATATAAGCAATACATAAAAAGGAAATAAATAATATGAAATCAATTAGTGAGTCGATTTAAAGATAATAGTAAGTGGAGTTTTAAAGTTTGAACATATTCCATTGAAAAAGTCCATCTTCGTTGAATACTCATTGATTAAGATACGCAATCTATTAATACAGCTAAAATACAGCTAAAAATTTAGCATAGAAAGTTCTACAGCATTTCACGTGAAACACATAGAGAACGTCTAAAATATCTTGAAGGAACGTTAAGTTTTGGCCTAAAACCGGGCAATCTATAAAATAATTGAAAAATTTAACAACGAGAAAACAAGATAAGTGATATTACATAATTCTTAAGTGAGCCTTTTTCCCGAGTAATCACTTGCAGTATCAAATTTTAATCTCGAGATTCTCCATCGGTCCTTCAACAAGTTCGATGGAATTTGCCGGATTATTTTCAAAGCAAAATTTCGATTCGGAATCCTCGATTCTTGTGAACAACGCTTTAAAGCGAGATATTCACTTGTTGTCTCTTCTTAGTAAAAGTTACACCTGCGCGTAGATTCCTTTATGTCGCGGAATATCGCCGAAAAGCGTCAGACGCGTCTGTGATATTCTCGCCAGTTGTTATCGGCGATTCGTTTTCATTTTATTCTTCTGACTCGATCTCATGTGCTTTATCGGTCGTACGACACGCGTCCCCACTGAATGCACTCCCGCTTCATTGTGCGCGTCGCCGGGATTTATTTCTAATAAATACGTTTTCGCTCACTGCATTCGCCAGCAAACGAGCGTCCGCAACGCGCGTATCTAATCTCGCCTTTCCCACTTCGATAATCATTTTTCATATTTTTACTTGAGCGCCGGTATATCACGGAGCTTTTAACGTCGCAAGACGACCCGCAGCTGTGTCGTCAGTTATGTATCTGAGAGAGACCCGTGTAAAAGTGGCTTCTTCGACGTGAAATTTAGAACCTAAGAAAACGCCAACCGCTGTAATTATTTTCCTCCCGCCAGAGAGAGAGAGAGAGAGAGAGAGAGAGAGTGCTACGCTCCGGGATCTACCCGAGCCAGAAATGAAAAATCGAATCGACGTTGATTGTAATGGTCTATCGACGGTCGAAATTTGTAGTCGATTCAACCTAAATATGAACTTAAATTTCCACCATCGACCAGTCATCGACATTAGTTACTGTAATTACAAAATATTATTTGCAACAAAATTACGTTAATACAAACGAGATAACACAAACTAATGTTAGATTATTTTGTTTAAATTAAAAAAGATTGCCACTTTATCTTTTGCATCTTCTCATCTCACAATGAGACCTTTCGTGATTTCTATCCTGTAGTAGTCACTCATACCTTGGCAAATTATTATTATTATTATTTACTAAGTAAACAAGAAAATTCTCTTTGGTACAAAAAAATATCAATATTAAAGCACCGTCATAAATCAGAAAGATAAAATATACAAAACGTTAACAGCCTATAGAGTAGCCCAAAGAGTACAATTAACGTACAAATTTAATTAATAAATTTTTGAATGTAACGTGAGATTATGTTTACAATGTATTTTTATATCTTTCAAAAAACACCGTAGTGGCACTATAGTTAGCGATTGTTGGAAATAACACAAGAACAATCATATGGAACGAAAATTAATGTAATGATAACTCAAAACGATAACGTCGACGGTTACCTATACGTGACTATCTTATTCATATTCTTGCACCTGCCATTACAACTGAGAACTTTCTTCAGCTTTCATATGACTTGGAAACTTGTAGAAATATTTTTTAATTGTTCAGTTGATATAAAAATAATACCTGTTACAAGGTCGACAATGACAAAAATGTCAAACTGTTCGACATTGACTGTTCATCGACGTCGAATCGACTTTTCATTACTAACTAAGGACGTCGTCGTCTGTTCTCTTACGCGACTTCTATTCCCGATACCACCCCCTCTGTTCGAAGGCGTCTCCGACACCCCCGTCGCCGCATCTCCGCGTAAATAAAGAGCCATCGGAGAAGAAGAGAAAAAAAAGAAAACGGCGATCGAGCAGCTCGTAATTCGCTCGATCGCGACTTTATCGAGCCGATCCTAGAGACGCGGAGGGGAACATCTTGCTCCGGTCGCGCGCGAATCGCCGCCGACGATAAATCTGCATCCCCCGGGCGAGCTTCGTGGAAGCCCAACGTCGCGCGTCGTACCCACTAAAAACGATAAATTACCGCCCGAAAATCGAGGGGGGAGGGGGCAGCACGACGAGGAACGAACGGGGGAGAGAATCCGCTTCGCGGCGGAGGAAGAAGGACAAGTTGCGCGCGAGAGCAAGGTGCCCCGCGCGGCGGAGAAGCGCTTTCGCGTCGGAATCGGCCAGCGACGGGGAAGGGAGCCCCCGAGGGCGGCGCTACGTTTGCGCCACGGTATAAAAAGTCTTGGAGGGGAATCGAGAGGTGGAAAAAAAGGAGCCTGCCGAGAGCGGCTAACATGGAATAGCCCTTAGCCGGGCACGATAGCCGCTCTTTAGGCTGATGGACTCTCGATCCTCCTCCTGCCCCCCCCTCCCCTCTCCTTCGTCCTCCTTCGCCTGTCACCTCTCGCCTGCGATCCACCTTGGCCGCGCTCCCTGCGCTCTTACCCCTCGCTGCGCGCCCCAAGCAACGGTCTTGGCTTCTCGCGCCTTTGTGCGTGTACGCACGCATTCGTATGAAGACTTTGTAATGATTGTAATAAGGCGAGGAAGGCGGAGGTGACGGCCGAACGAGGAGGGTGGGGACGGAGAGATCAGTTTAGTGATCGAATACGCATTTCTCGATTAACATGAGTCGAACGTTGATTTCCATTGATCGCACACGGAGGAAATATCGTGGTAAGAGTTATCACAAAATTTGGTATTATTGGACTATACTGGGATTACAATTGGAATTATGTGGTGTTGTAATCTCCAGTGATGTACTTCATTGTGAGTAGTTTTAATGTTTAATGTTAAGGTTTAATGTTAAACAACTCGAAAGAAAGATCGTATTTGTAATTTATTTTTATGCAAAATAATAGGGAAGTTTCGCAGTTTCAAATGATGTAAACGTCATTCATATGCGATTTTTTGTTTAAGTGCGGCCCGACAGGTTTTAATTAAAAATATTTTCACATTTGACGGATTCTTTATGAAGTTATTCTCTGTTTACACTGTGTAAAAGGAATTTCGCGTAGAAATAAAGTTTCACACAGTTTGAAAATACAAACGTTGTTTTTTAATTTGCGCGTGGGCAAATTGCGGTGCGATTTTTTCTTCAGGTTATTCAATGTTGAAGCAAAAATAATATTTTGGCTTTGATCACTAATAAAGAATGAACGAATGAATGTAGATACGAGGTTTTTTAATTAATGAGTAGAAAGCTTAAAGTTCCTTCTTTAAAAAGCATTTATCTGAATTTTCACAAAACAATTTTCTCCCATAAAATCTCAACAGAAAGATGAAATTGAAAATTGAACGAGCGCCACTTTTGATTTAACGTGATATATCTGGACAAAAAATGGTGAAACGTAATTATTGCATTATTATAACTGAAAATTAGAGATTTCAAGCTGCAAAATACTTTTCGAGTTATTTTGATAGAATCATTTTTGCCAAAGTTACAGCCCGTTAAAGTTTGTTTATTTTCCAAGATATGAAAAGATAGTAGAAAAATGGCTGACATATTATTAAGTAACACTGTTTAAAATGTGAAGTATCTTCCGATTCGTCATTGAATCTTATCACGACCTATCACGATATCAATTTTTTTTACTTAGGAATATATAAATATCACGATTGACATAAGGAACGACGCCTATATTATTCTATATTAGATCGTACAAAAAAGACTTGTAGTTGAGTAATTGATTATCGCATAAACGTATTTATTTCTATTTAATAACAAGCACAACTACCTCATTATTTTTCAAATCCACAACTCAATTCGTCGTTCAGGAAAGTGGCGGCTCGTAGCGGAGTCTTTGGAACTAAATGCACGTCACGCCAGAAATAATAGGTCTAATGTTCCTTTAGACCCGTTATTTTTGCAGGCCAATACACCGATTTGAAAATTGGTTCGTTATTTTAGCTGAACTGGCTGCACTTATTCAAGAAATTTACACATACTGAAGCGTAAGAATCTTGTAAATACGCTTCAATGTGTATGTAAATTTCTTGAACTGTGCAGCCAGTTTAGCTAAAAAAAACAGACCAAATGATCAGACCCGATGGTTTTTGCTGATGATGTAAAGTAGTTCCAAAGTTTCCGCTACGAGCCGCCACCGTCCTTATTAATGAATCGGCTTATAACTGAACGACTAGTCTAACGTACTTTCATTTTCGAATAATACATTTCAATAATAAATTATAGCGAATTCAATCGCAGAAATATATTCTTTATTCAGAAGTTATTTTTAATAGAAATTCAGCTGCACTCAGTTTCTCGCCACGTATTCCTCGAAAAAAGTTGGAATCTAAGAAGTACAATTACATGATTTTATGGAAGCTGTGTCCCAAAATTCACTGCCAGCTTTGAAAATCTATATAATTTTTTGGTTCAAATTTGTCGGTTCACAACGCGATGTGCTTACTGGCGTACTTGAGAACCGCTCGGAAAAATGGCGTCCGCTCATTGAACGTGAGAATGCACTGGCTGATCACGTGCGTTCAACATAAATTTCTTCACTGTTGCGTAATGCTGTATCAGACTACAGATTAGGATTGAGATTGAATTGAAATTTGATCAACTGGAACAAGTTCAACTAAACTTGAGTTTAGTGAACTTGGTTCTGATTCGTCCGAACCTAACTAACCGTCGTGTTCGCCGAACGCAGTCACTGTTCGACCAGCGCAGCAACATCCGATGTTCTTTTCGTGTTGGTATTCTTGTATCTGGCGCCGGCATATTTATGGAGTGCGTTCGAAGAGGCACTACTGGCGCTATAAACGTATCCATGATATCGCCCTCTGCAAATGGCAACCCGTGATGAAATATACCGACTCTCATAACCCACAAAGTTAGTCCGGCCCCATCATCGTTACATAAATAAAGATCCAAGCTTTGAGTACGGTTTATCCGATCGGGGGACCGGGCTGAGATTGATCATCGACACGTGACAGGTCGGACAGAAGCGGATCTATTAATTAAAAAATGGGAAACGTGGTGCAAGCCGCTTCTTCTACTACACTTCCTCCGATGCCGTTCATGCCACCGGGTTACGATGCAAAACGGGATGCAGAAAGGCAGGACCCGAGAAGCATGTTGTATGAATCCAACAATGAGGTTGTCAGTGAGGCTAAGATCGAAAACCCGGGTACCATTGAGGATCTTCATAAAAAATGCAAAGGTATTCCGCAGAAAATGCTCGTCACGTGCTCCATGCTATCATTCTCCGTCTCTGTCCATCCATCTCTCTCTCTCTCTCTCTCTTTTTACTTAAATCTTCATCGATTAATTTTACGGTCGGAACTATTCCGGCATAACATTTCGATCGCATTTATTTATTTTTCCATTTTTCCCTCAACCCCTTTGCAAAATACAAATATTAATCATACACTACTTTCATGTTAATTTATAATTGTCTCACTTCTCTTTTTTTTGTATAGATATTGCCTTTGATTTTTCATTGTAACAATTCACATATATGTATTTAATTCTGTTCTTAGAGCACTTGTCCATTGACTGAAATAAATGCTCTCATCTCTTTCCTTCCTCATTCCTTCTTCATATATCTTCTTGGGAATTTTCATGTTTTTTTTATTTTGTCACAGAAAATTCTTGGTTAGATTATTTGTTTAACAACGAATAATTCATACTGTGTGACTTTTACTTGAATGTCAATGATCTGACGTATTTTACATCTCTGTATCGAAGTGAGAAAGGAAAATATAATCAAACTAATGTTTCTGAGCAACACATGATGCAAACTTTGAATTTATGTTGCTTTGTCATTGTACTATTCTGAATATATTCTGAGTATATTTATCTTGCAGATATATTTCCTATGAATTTCGAGGGTGCTAAATTGGTAGTTAACAAAGGATTGAGCAATCACTTTCATATCTCGCACACTATTAACATGGGTAATGTAGTACCATCTTGTTACAGGTAAGTTAGAACACCTATGAAGACACTTTGGTACATTGATACTTTTTTCGTTTCATAACTCACGTTAATTTATCGTTCTGATTCATCTAAATTGTCAGATTTGGTGCTACTTATGTGGGTACAAAGCAGGTTTCACCTGCGGAGGCTTACCCGGTATTACTGGGTGATATTGACCCCAGTGGAAATCTCAATGCCAGTATTCTCCACCAATTTGGCTCAAGGCTTAAGACGAAATTTGCGGCGCAGGTGCAGAGAAATAAATACACCGCTGTGCAATTGACGTCCGATTACCGCGGTGACAATTTCACTTTTTCGGCGACGTTAGGCAACCCGGATATTATAAACAATAGTGGTGAGCGCACGGAATAGGAGAAACAGCAAATTATTCGGATCTCTCCCTCCACTTCTCCCGCTGTAACTCTTGCAAACGTCTTTTCAGGTGTCATGGTCTTGCATTATCTCCACAGTGTAACACCTTCGCTCGCCTTGGGTGGTGAACTCGCGTATCAACGTGGAGCTGGTATACCAGGAGGACAAGTTGCGTTATTGTCTGCCGCTGGCAGGTACACGCACGGCAACTCGACCATCAGTGGCAGCATCAGTACGTAGCTCTTTTTCACGTCGTTCTCGACGACGATGCGTCTCTTGCGATTTCCTCTGCACGATTATCTTCCCCGTTAGGTCCGTCCGCTTGCCACCTGTGTTTCCATCAACAAGCCAGTTCACAAGTGCAAGTGGGTGTGGAGTTGGAGATCAACGCGCGAATACCGGAGTCAACGGCTACTCTTGCCTATCAAGTCGATCTACCGAAGGCAGATTTAGTGTTTAGAGGTGCGTATTCGTGTTTGACATTTGAATACCATGAAAAATGCGTAGACCGATTCGTCCTAAATTCTCTTGTGACGATAGTTGAGTTTCGAGAATTTCGGCTTTAGGCGGGATTCACACTATTTGTTTAGACGAGAGCAGGTAAGCGTCCGTCAACCCCCTTCCGACAAAATATTCCCCAACACTCTTGCATTTGACTGTTCACAGTATCCATCATCATCATTAACATAAGATTCACACCGACACACGACGATCCCTGATATCCAATAGATTCACTTTATCGAGACTCCCCCGCTAACATTTTGTTCTCCGGAAAATTTAGGCCCGGAATACAATACATCGTATGCCGCTGCCCGGATGCCGGAAAGTAATCGATGGTCCAATGACAAATCTATTTTTGGGAAACGAATTCTTCTCATTGGATCATCGGCAATTTCGACATCCGATAGCAACATACGACGTATCGTGTCTCGGAGAATTGACGGACACTTGCCTGCCACCGTCTGAATAGGGTGAATCCAATCCGATTGTGACGATATTCGAGATAAGTCGAGACTTTCATTCAAGTAATTCGATACGTTTTGAGCTGGACTTTGGTATAAATCTTCCCGGATTCTTTAATGCTAACAGTTCAATCTTACGGATTGTTACAGGTAGCATAGACACGAATTGGATAGTAGGAGCGGTCCTTGAAAAGAGGCTGCAACCGTTACCATTCTCGTTCGCGCTCAGCGGTGTGATCAATCACTCCAAACAGCAGTTTAGATTGGGCTGCGGTTTAATTATCGGTTAAGACCGATACGTATATGTGTCATTCACGAGATACGCATTCGGAAGAAATCTGGGTCGTTCCGCTTTCCGTGCAGTCGGACACAGTTACGTAATTAGGATTCACGAATGCCGTATTCTAACCACGGTTACGTAATGAAGATCCATAAACGCCACATCGATCCTTTTCCGACCTGAATGATTGTCTGACGTTTGAATTGGAGATGCAGCATTGTGCGAAGTGATCGGTTGGTTTGATTAAAAGTCAGAATTCCAGGACTCAGCATTTCTCTGTTTCGCTCTGAGGCTCCCGGCCAACCTCGCTGCAGTCGTCTTATGACGTCAGAAGCGAGGAAACGCCGAAAATTCTCGCGGTTCGATACAAAAAAAGAGGTATACCCACGAAATGACATGTTTGTGGCCGATTCAGCACACTTGTAAAATATTCCGAACACATTTTCTGCCCTACCGATTAATAAATAACTGTAAAATTAACATGCGATGCATCCTTCCTTTTTAATCTATTTTTTTTTCTCATGATCCGTCGCGTTAATTTTACAGATATTCGTTGATCGTTCGAGCAAAAAGAACGCATTCGGAACGCGGAGTATTTTATGAGATTGTTGAATCGATCACAAGTGTGATTTCGTGAGTATATCTTTTCATTTGAATACCGCAAAAATTCCAGGCATAGATCCCCTCACTTCTGACGTCATCGAACAGGACGACTGGCAGCGAGGAACCAGGAGCCTTAATACACTGTCCCTATCTGTTTTAGTTTTGATGTAACAGACTTTTTACTTGTATCATGAAACGATTGCACATTCGACTTCATTTTCACGATGATCTCGAAAATTTTGTACATGTTAAATGTTTGTGTGCGTAACTATTGTCACAACGAGTTGGAACGAAGGCTGTGGATCGAAATCTTCTGGACGGAATAAAATCAATCGAGTAGGCCATAATTCGTGTCCCCTTTGCGCACATCTGCGACGATTTGTTACCGAGTGACAACATTTTTCTCGTTACCTTACCTCATCTTCCCCGATGCTCTTGCCATGACAAGAATATAGATGCAATTTTAGAAGAGAATATATAAATTGTGTAAATAATCGCGCCGCGAGAGGTATCCGCTATGTGCGTCTTACTCATGCGCGCGCACAAGGCGAGATAACGGCAGACGACGGAAGGATAATATCCGTCGAACATTCGGGGTACATGTAGATATAGTTTGCTTCTGGCCACGAACGGACGTGACATCGTCTGGAAATAATTCGCGAAACTGAAACATGCAGCATCGCATACCTCAGGTTTGCCCTTTATAGCTAAATTGGCTGCATTAGTTCAGAAAATATGCTTTGAAGCGTCCTTTGTAGCAGAATTGGCGTGAGCACCGCTGTCCTTCACAGCAATTCGCAGCGGAATTTGGTGCAATAATTCACCGTATCGGCCGCACTATTTCTGGAGCCAGTGCGAGCGATGCAAGAACAGTTGTGCGTGAAACAGCACATTTAAATGAAAGCGCAAGAAATATTAAATAGTCTGTATCGTTGTGCCATTAAATTATCGTGCTCCCGCTCTCTCCGATGTTCACGATACGTGCGAAGCAACATACCTGAGTGAATGATGAATGAGAGCTACGTTTTATCACTTTTGAAGGTTTCACCAAGTTCTACTTTGAAAAGTTTTACACTTTTAAACGTCTATTATGCAGTTATCAAAACCAAAGCTAAATGGTATTGAAGCAGGAGCTTCCCCAGCACTGAAAAGACTTTACAATATTTATATTTTAATATGTAACATTAAACATTTTTAGATATATAAGTTAAAACTCTATTGCCAGTTATTGTTGAAGATAATTGTTCAATTCTACGGGTGTAAAACGTGCCGTATTATTCTTGCATCAGAGCTTTCTTTATTCCTTGGCTGCACGCTTACACTCGTCAGTTCCGGTTTGCACTAGTTCAGTTCAGTTCTAGTACATTCCCAGTTCAGCTATAAAAAAGAAAAATTGTGCGTCGAAAGGTAATACAAAATTCTGACATTTTTTCCCGCACGACACTCTCGATTGACAAGTTCTGCAACGGAGAGAAGCATGCATACGTCGAAGCTATTGTGTAATGTTCGTAGGAGTATGGCTGTAAATTTATGAGACACGATTGTAAGGGCCATTATGATAGGTTGTAATAAGATCGTAAGCAAAATGAAAGTAATTTATGTTCATTTAAAATTTTACATTGCGGCCTAATAAAATCAAAATGCACTTTTACAGCCGCGTAAACTCAACTGTCATAAACTTTCAACCGTATTCCTACGGAATATTGTAGTAATGGCCTTTATTTACGTCTCGATGAGACGATGCATAATTTTATATTTTGAAGGAACATAAATAGCAAGGTGTGTGACAACCCAGTTTCTAAGTGTGCAAGGCAGCATGGCACCACTACCTTCGAGCCTACCCGATTGTACACGATTGTAAGTGTGAAGAAATAAAGTAATATATATGACGAAGTTATATATATATCGTTGAACAAACTCTGTGCGTGCACACACTGCGTTATGTATTCCATACCATCCCCTAGGTCAAGAGTTCATGGTTTATTTATTTTTTTCTTTAAAAGTATTCAGTGACAAGCTTAATCCTTAGAAAATGGGTAAAGGATGCAATTAATAAAAAAACGGCACATCGAGTAGAAAATAAAAACTGTTTTTTAACGAATTTTAGACGCCCCAAGCTTGAATCTTTTTATTTTCTGTAGAAGGACATATAAACTACTTATTAGTAACAAAGTCCAAAAAATCAATTTTATAGGTTGGATCCTTCTTGCATAATTGTGGTCAATTATAATGATTGGTTTTTAAATTGGTTTTTAATTATAACGGCTTCGGCCTCATGCATAGGGTAAAACGGAGTAATGGCGATCACTTAAACGGAAACTCTCACAAAACCGGTAAGAAATGTTGAATTCAAGATCTGCTTAATACAATGGATATCTACAGATGTTTACTATAATATAGACTGAAGCGAAAAATTCCATAAAAATATATACCAGGAAGTCAAATGAAAAAGTGAAAAAGAGATGAGATTCGACAGGGATTATCTTGACCTCGGAATAATGCCGGTCAGCGATGTTTACAGGACATAAAACCGAAGAGAAGACACGCATTTCATTGAAAATCGTACATATTTATTAAAAAAGAGACATAACAAAAATTTGATATCTTGAAAAATATCTTGAGTGACATTGCAGAAAATAGTACAATAATGCATGAGTAAATGTATCGACTTATACTATGCTTTAGTAGCGATCTTTCATCAGAAAATCTTTCACGACGGAACAAACTTTTCGCAATAGCTCAGCCGTGAACAATGATAAGCTAGCGGTGTTTTGTCTGATGCTTCCTTCGGCGCTCTACAGAGGACAGAAACTTACAGAATTTAATTCGCATTGACTAGTCGAGATATAGAGGTGACCGATATTACCTACCGACCGGTGTTACTCGAATCTCCCCTAAATGTGTAAGGGAAAAAGTCATGCAACTTTTTATTTAGGGGATGGTAAAGCATATATGTACATAAGGGGAAACGAACGTTTTTACGATCATAATGCACGCGATAGAGAAAGGGCACTCCGAGGTATGTAAGAGTCGTCGCATTATTCGCGACCGAGTAAATCGAATTCCTAAGGTCGTAGCGTGCAAGCTTGTTTCCTACAGGAAACAATGAGCAATTAGCACGGGGATCGTTAAAAACGGCACACGCGTGTATATATGTGCGTGTAGGCGCGCACGTGTGTGTGTGTGTGTGTGTATATGTGTGTGATCATAAACATCCAAACTCACGAATAAATAATAATAATAATGATATTTTGTTAGACACAACACAAGCTATCGATGTGCATAAATCGATGTCTTCTCAGTCAGTCGAAGAGTATCGGGCAGAAATATTCGATATGTTTTCAAAAAGCGAGACCTCGAAGTAGAGTATAGTTTCTATTGATTGAAAGAGGAATGTTAGTGAGATAAGGATCGGTTAACAAAAACACATAGTCAACATGACTTGATTTCTACGGTTTTCTTTCGTTGATACAACGCGTGCCAGAGGTTGGAAGAAAAGACTCTTCGGGTATTCAAGGCGTCCTTTGAAAGTCGTGCTCGCTGGGTGAGGTTTATTGACAATTAAATGGATTTAATTCCGACTGCTAGGCATGCGACAAAGTTCCGTCGTAATTGAATGTACAACACCTGCACACGTATACATAGCGCAGGTTACGACGCTTCGAGGTGATTTAAATGCCTATCCAGCGCGCGGCTGTTGATCTCGCTTATGATGCAAATGCAAGCGTGTAAAATGTGCAGTTTGCAGGTACATATCTATGAAAAATCGTGGATGTGACATATTGATGCCATTGTCGGGTCTCCTAAAATCCGACTTAGGAACCACTCAACAATTACGTCACGCTAAATTTTGATATTTTTACCGTCCCCTTTCATCACAATTTCGTTACAAAATATTTGTCTCCTCTCAATGTCATATAATACAAGGAATTACTCCTTTCCCTTGTCGACACAGAATAAAAGAAAATAGCTTATAACTAGATTGTGAATAATAATTATTAAACTGCACGCTACTATCTTTCTCGAAAATCATTTTTAGATCTATAACATCAAATTAATTACTTTATTTTCTAATTTTGATGAATATAAAAGTTGCGTTTTTAATATAATATATATTAGAAAATTAGCAGTTTGATTATTAATACGAAACTATGTCAAAGCTTAAAAATTTTCACCAAATGTAACCAAATGTGTCATGAATGTAAACAAAGTGGATAACTACGCACATCTATATTTACAAGTTATGCCACCTAATATGACGTTCCATGGCCTGTACTCCCCCCTCCTCCTCCCTCTCTACCATCACGGGTCGTCACACAAGCTAATAGATCCCTCCTTGTGCTGTGACGTAATTGCTGAATGGTCCTTTATAACGTCTATTTGGCTATGACCAAAACATATCGTCCTTTTGACGTCTCTCTTTTACGTAGGTTGTTTCATTCTAAATGCAAAAAGTGAGATCTTTTTAGTTTGTCTAAAACGAACAAATCACTATTTAACTTAATTTGTGCAAACTAGCTTAACTGAATCTAATCCAACTTGAATCACGTCGATAACAATTGCATCTCGGGAGAAAAATTAATCAACGAACCGATACGTTCGCGACAAAGCGTATGCAATTTTGATATATCCACAGAGGTTCAAAAACTTCCACGTTCGTGAATCGACGAAATGATCATTGACTCTTTCGTCTTAAGTACGGATGTTATATCAATAATCACAATTGGCGGGCACGCGAACGAACGGATGAATGAATGAACGAATAATCGATCGATCGCAGGAACAGGCGAATGAATGGATAGTCTTGTCCTTGACAGCCGAGTGTTTGTAACCTGGCACTCTCGAAACACTCAATGAGCCGCCTTGGTTATGATACAGCTTCGTCGATCTTGTAAACAACCTTACATCCCTTTATGTGTTACAGCATTGGTTCCGATTCGACGACACGTGCATCGGTACGTCGGCATAAAATCATCCCTCATACGTATACACATATACAGAGGAGGAAAGAGAGAAAGATATTTGTCATTTTAAATATCAGCTTTATTTAGTGAACGGAGAACCTTGCCTTCTTAAGGGAATGCGAATATTATCGGCAAAATGATGACTTCCCTCTGCATCGTATTATCTGCATAGAATTATATAAATGTTTTTACATCGTGAAAAAGTATGCGCGAAAATGAATCGGAGAATTGCTATGTAGCGAAAATGATTAAACATTTCAAGGTCTAGCTGCCAGTTTCCCGATGGAAATATTTGACCGAAAATATAATAAAAATTTGCTGAAACGTATTTGAAAATTTCTCCTAAATCCTCCATTTCATTATTATTTCAATATTTTAGCAAAAAATTACTTTAATCGATATTTCAGCAATTTTTCTTTAAAAAGTCAAGCAGTTTTCAGTTATATGTAAATATTACGATATCTAATATTTCCAAATTTTTCATTTTTATTTTTACATAAAAACTTTTTATTTTCGTTTTTACATTGCATTACATTACATTATATTGCGTTTCATAAGGAAAATTATGATGTATTTTTACATGTATTCAATCATTTTTCAATAACATTCATTTTACTTTTCATCGATTTCATAGTTTCACTTTCAACACAATATTTCTATCGGGATCAGCGTGAATATTTACTTGATACAGAAATCTTGCAGCTCATGCATATGAATGTGTCAATGTGTCAATGTTCCAATCATGGAAATTCCAAAAAATGTTTTCGTACCTTTCTAATTAAATTTAAAAGTCTAAGAAAGACACGAGAATTGGCAGAAAAGTTTTTACATAATTTAGTTAGATTTTCCGTTAGATATGATAAAACAGAGTAACGCACATTCATCGTATTTATATTTATATCGCACTTGCATTTATGCAAGATCTATATGTACAAGAAATACAAAAGACCAACATGATCATGCCATCAGTGTTATATAATATGATATTTTGAACATCGTTTTTTGTTATCGACGCCTTTCAATTAGTCATCGATTTTGGCATCCCCTTAAACGCAAAAAAGAGTCAAAAAAATCAAGCCTCATGGGATAACAAGATCCCTTCTATGGTTTCCTTCTATAGTTCCATAATTCTTAGGTCCTTAATCTTTCTCGAAATAACAGTGTCAGTGTCCTTTTGTTCCAAATAGGCATCTAATCCAGCTGAGTGATGGAGTTCCAAAACAAAGTTAGAAAAGACATTAGTTTTTTTGACGTCAAATATCCTCGACTCGGACATTATTTTCTTTTTGACGTCAAATATCCCCTGACATTCAGTAAGGCAGTAGATCATTCCTGTTGGGAGCTTTGCCTTTCTTCTTCACACCCTCCAAAATAATGCAGGATAAAAGTGACTCGTTAAACAGAATGACCTGCGTATGTGTCGCAGGGACAGCCTCGCCGGAAACCGACGCCGATTTTGTGCCTACTTCCACTTATTTTTTTCCTTCTCGGGAGAAGATCCCTCCGCGTTCGAAAAGTCGTAGAACCCCCGGGGAGAGGTGTTTATAAATTTCGTTGCGCAAATCCCGGATGCAGGCGTCTCGGTGGCGCGCGAAAACGCGAAAGCCGCCTCTCGTCGCCGGCTCAGGATGGGAGGCAGAAGGAGCACAGGGTTGGTCATTAGCTGGCTCCCCTCGCGCTGATAAGGAAACCGCGCGCGTCACGAAAATGCCCGCTGCGCAGGCGCGCGCGCACGGTTGTGTGCGGAAGGTGGCATAGAAGCATGACGATGATAAAATACCGCGCGACTTTGCCCCCTCGCTTTTCCCCCAGTACCGCGATTCGCACAGAGGCCCCACTACCGCCGCTGCTCCGATCCAGGGGGCACGAACCTTCCCTACCTCCGCGTCTATCATTCTCCCTCTCCCCTCCATCCTCTGTCACCCTCGCTCTCTCGCGCGCTCCTTCCGTCTCGCTCTGCCGCGGTATGCTCGCTTCCCCCTCTTTATTTATCCTCCTTCGTTCTCCTCCGTCTTCGTCTCGTCTTCCTACATTCGCGCGACTCACTCTGGACGGACTCGCGTTGTTTCTTTCTTTGTCACCGCGTTTCTCTCTCTCTCTCTCTCTCTCGTTCCTTCGCTCGCTCGCTCGCGCTCCATAAACTCCGTATGTCCTCTATGTACATAATATACACGGACCTCGCTCCCGAACATAGAGCAGCGGCTAATGCGGGTTCTCGTATAGCCGGCAAAGTCCGCGGTCTTCAATTTTCGTCTAGTCGTCGATCCGCGTGCATCAGCGATCGGTCCGGCGGACGCACACCAGCTATTCGGTGGGCGGGCGCGATTAACACCCCGCGGAGGCAACAGGTTCGGACGTGATCGCGGCGTCGAGCGCACGGGAATAAGGGCTCACGGTGAGAGTGTGATCGCTCGTGACACCGCGGACGCTGCGGGACCGAAGGGGTCGTCGCAGCGAGGGGGAAGTGAGTGAACACAGGAGTGTGCGAGCCACCGCCGAGAGGAGTCAGATTGCACGCGGGATGAAGAGGAGGAGGAGCGACGACGACGTGAAGCCAGCCACCAAGTACCGGCATCGGGAGTACAGTGAGTCTTTTCTCTCTCTCTCTCTCCCTTTTTCTCTCTCCTTTGTCGAGTCGCGCTCTCGAGGGTGGACGACGACGACTTCTCGCCGAGGTGCGACAGCGTGACGAATCCGCGCGATCTCGCGGCCGGCAGGTGGGCAAGTCGCCGGGAGCGTGCTCGAGATGCGATACCCGGCGGGAGAGAGGTGGGTGGAAGTCGACGCGCACGTAGTGCGTGCAACCGAGGCGTTCAACTGGGCCGGTGGTCCGCGAGTTACTGGAGGCCAGGGTCCGCTCGTGGGGGATGTATATATGTTGGATATCAGAGTGATAACGTCGCCCCGAGTCTCGCGATAACGCCCGCGGTGTGTAACGTCGGTGCCACCGATGGCTGGTACAGCGATGGCCCGCCGTGCGCACGCGGCTTCGTTGCATCCGTCCTCGCGCGGCCGAATCCCGAGCGAAATCGGACCGCTCTCTCGGGCTCTCCTGCGGCGGCACTCGCGCCGGTGACGAACGCGCGTGCTGAGGAAGCACGCGAACGACGGCTCGCGATGAACTCGTTTTCGAAAATCAGCTCTCCCCGTTGGTTGCTTAGAGTGCAGCTTAGGCTGCAGCGGGCGAGAGAACCCGAGTCGGTGTTTGTCTTACATTAAGTCCACTTTGATCTACATTGGGTTTACATTTTCGAGCGGATGTAACTTGCCATTTGTGCCGTTAAAGAGAGCTAAATAGAGGATCTTTGAAGACTTGATGTGGAACTAAATAGGCTTAGTGTAGAACCGAAATTTCGTCTCGGCAAGTGTCCAAGCCGTCTTGAAACTCTCGAGTGCACAGGGGAAGGGGGATTGCGTCAACAGGTTACCTCGGGAAAATTATTGATACAATTTGTGGCGTGAGATCATTAGAAAGCACTTCGAAATATTTGTCGAAATATTTGAAATATTTTCGAAACAATCGGATATGTATATTCCGTTTTCGGACATTTCATTTAATGCACTTATGCCCGTTTCCACCACCATGGTTTAAATCCAGTCCATCGACGATTAACTCAACGGAATTGGTGACCAATCACATTGATCAGTTCAGCCAATTGGCGGATGCAATTGGTCAGTTCCGTTGAATGAATTGTCGATCGGATGTAAGTCATGATGGTAGTAGAAACCGGCACCAGAAGCTACTTTCATTTTCTCTTCCTGTTCGAAATATATTTTTAAAGACACCTCGCATCATGACAAACGAGAGAGACATCGATGACACAAGGAGGAAACGAAGCGGCCGATTGAGGGGAGAAAATAAATTCGGTACGACTTGGAAGTTACGTTAAGGCGGGAGGGAGTGAAATGTTTTGTGGAAATAGTTGCTTACTTATCTGACGCGCGGCGAGTACAAGTCGTCGGTAATGTTACATAAATGTTTGGGTAAAACACAGAAGTGTGCGCGATCACTTATAAATTTGGAGTCGAGTCCCCTCCGGTTATTATCCGTCCGACCTGACTCGCGGATAATTCCAGATCGTTCGGCCGACTTTTCGACGTCTTTCGGGCATTGTTTCGGTTTGCTCGAAATTCACCGTACAGGTGAATCAATTGGAAAGTAGCGCGTTATTTGAACTTTCGTCTCGATCATCTACGAATCACTTTGTGGCTCCGCAAAGGAATATTTTCCGACTCGGAAAATATTTCGTTCAAGGCGCCAATAGTCGATACTTACGCGTTAGTATTTCGTAATAATTTAATATAAATTTCTCTGCGTTTACTCGGACACTGAACGCAGCTTCGTCTCCTCCAGGTATTCGGGAAAGTTACTGGCGCCGATATTTGTAAGTTAATGGAAAGCTATTCCCTTTCATTTTAGCAAAAACAACCGGTGCCTACTTTGGCCATTCCCTCGAGCGTTGAATTTTATCGGCTCGATCGTCAGGGTCGCCATTATTTCTATTTAAACACTTGCTCGCTGCGTCATGTGTCTCCTGAGTCACTCGCAACGCGTATCATTTTGACGTCCGAAGACGAGCTGCTTTCTTCAGCCGTTCTGCGACGGCCGAAGAGTGCTAAACGTTTACAGTTTGTTACGCTAATTTATTTGCCGGTTGCTTTTACAGGGGGAAACGGATACTCAAATGATAAGAAAGAATTAATAAAGCACTTGTGCCCGACGTTAGAGAAATAATTGATAGTACTCGCAATCGAAAGGCATTTTTGCGCTTCGAAGATCAATGCCGTTCTTTCAGCTTATCCTTATAAAAGAGAAATTGAAATTCACATAAATTTGCAAATGATTCATTTTCTTGTTATGTATTATAATTTTTTCATTAATTAATATTAATACATTGCGCACATCATCCGTATTACACGGATTACATTGTGATCATTTTTGTGGGATACCATTGTGCCGATACAGGAATACACGGCTTTATCCTCGGAACGATTCGGATGTTAACAGACGGAGGACGCACCTCCGTGCACCTCGGCCGCTCGTCGAGTCGGGATCTTATGATTCACGTACGCTGCATACAAATGAACCGTTTGCTTTTAATATTGCGATATAATGAGACGAACCTGGCGGTCCGCTTGTTCTCGAGCTGACAAAACTACCGGCAAACCTATCGGCGATGCTTCCTTTGTCCGTTGATTTTTAGTTCTCGATTTTACGGAACGTGCTCACATTCGTTAGCATGCGTATAATTTCGCTTCGAATACGGCTTCGACTGATTATTCGCGGACTTGCGTCAACCGCAATCGAAAGAAGGAATTCACTAAAAACTAGCTCAGGCGAAAATTAGCTGTCCGTGTGATACGACTGAAATTTAGTCGATTCAGCAAAGTTTTTTGTCCCTGTACCTGGCTATTAGCTCCCACTGCTGAAAAACTAGATCTGACAAATCAATTTCGGTTGCACATATAGACAGCATATTCCTTTTTCCCGCGTGTTCATCGCAGATTTTGATAGGCGCATTTACTGCGATAATAAGTACACGATATTTATAATACGTAATATTCATAATACGTAAAAATAGAGAGGGGAAAGCGTACTCCGAAAAATGTTATCGCGTCGAGTCAGGCGGTTTCGTATGGCCATTTCGTAACTATCTTTACGTAAATACGACGAGAGTCAAGATGTCAGGTCGGGTGTGCGAGAGATGTTTTTACAGTTTTGGTCAGATGATAAAAGTGCGCAAAAAGGCGTTTTTTCCCTCACGAACGCGGCACTCTCGGCTATTTTTTTTCCTTTTTTTATTTATTTTTTTCTTTTACTTCAATGTATTTCAGTCTTTCTCAAAGGTCGTGTCACCGATCAAAAATATACAACAAAGTATAAACAAATCGCGCGCGCGATAAGAGACGTATAGCGGCGATGAGCTAATTATTCGGCCGCTAACGGCTTCTTTCACACTGATAGAAAAATATATGGCATTTGTAATTATAATCACCATAGTGAGAGGATTATAATCCGGGAAAATCATTTTGTGTTATTATAATATCAATGATAATAACCTTACATGCATATTGCTACTGCTGTTTTTGCGGTTAAAACTTTAAGAAGGATATGCAGAAAAAAGGATTTTCTAAGTACCAAAATTTGTTGAATATTTGATTACTGCATGGAACAATTTAGTTACGTGTACTAAATATACAATATACGGAACTACAAGGAGAAAATATTGTAGTAAAAATTACCACAAAATTTTGTAACGTTGGACCATACCGGAATTATGACTGAAATTATTATGTGTGTTATAATTGTTAGTGATGTGTACACTGAAAAAAGAAATTGAAATTTTACGATATAATTTCACATATATATATATATATATATATATTGTAATCTTCAGTGATGTACTTCCGGTATGATCCAACATTGCAAAATTTCGTGCACTTTTTATTACAATATTTTCTACGCGTACAGTACTGTATATACAACATACTAACTAAATCATCTAGTTGCGATAATCAAATATTTGGTCGGCAAATGTTTACCAAATTTTTATTCTTATAACCAAACCTTTTTTTTCATACTTTCCTTTATATAGTCGAGGCCGAAAGTAACTATAATTCCTCTCAGTACAGGCCGGCCAAGGGAATTCGGAATCGGTCGAGTCGTCGCGGCGAAACCGGCGTGATGTCAATTGCACGCACACATTGCTCCTCTATCGCGTTTTGAAGAAGAAAAAAATTATCAGCGTGAAATTGGCCGGCTGTCAGGCGACGTAATCGCTTCATTTGCACGAAGTGATTCCAGTGCACACATGCATAAAACATGAGAGGCGGCATACTCTAGCCGATCGACAATTTGCGCTCGGCCCGGCGAAGCATTCGCCGCGACGAATGACGTCTTCTCGACGTCGCGGGGTCGCGCAATCACCTCGATCTCTCGACGCTCGCGCGATTCCCGAAAATTGTCAATCGGCTTCGTCAATCGATCACGCGTATCAACCGAGACCGGTGAGTGGACGACGATTAAACGATATCAGTAACCTCGCGGTTGTGCGTATTTATCGCGGCCACGGTATTATAAAACTCGTTCTGTAGATTAACTTTATCGTCTGCAATCAACGCGAGCTAATTATCTCGATGGATTCGAGCCGGGGTGGGATCGGGTTGGCCGAGTTACGATGCAGCTTCGATTAACTTCGATCAGCGCGATCCCGCCGGTCGCGAGGAGCAGCATTTTCGAATTCTCCGCTTCGCACAAACAGCCGCTGTCGTGGAAAAGTTCGGAGCCGATTGCAATCGTTATCGTTGCCTATCGGAGCTACTCTGCCTCTCTCTTCGCCAAAGGCCTGGATTCGCCGTACAGTCGGGTACTTGTGCCTACGTTAAGTTCAACGGCGAGGTCACGGTAGCGCACAAGAGTCAGGGTTCATATAAACCGATGTACATTAAATCATCTCTCTCTCTCTCTCTCTCTCTCTCTTCGTCGCATCTCACATCGATAGTAGTCGTTGCCGTCATCCGCCACTCGTCGTCTTCATCTGCTGATCGCCGATCGGTTGAAATTAACGTCGCTCGACGATGAAGC